ATAGAGTCACAAGAAATTGCAAATATAGTACAAAGAGGTTCTATATTCCCTTTACGTAGTTTCTTCCAATGCTTACATCTCACATACAGTATACGAAAAACAGGAATTTGACAATGTAGGTATAGCTCTACTTCTTACCACATGTACATTTTATGTAATCATTAGGGTCAAAATACAGAATTATTCCATTATCACAAAGATTTCCCTTGTTCAGCTCCTTTATAGTCATTTCCACCCTCTCATCCCCACTGGAACAAAAGTTTCATGTAACAATAGTCTTCCTAGATAAGATGGCTCTATTTTCTATTTAAATCTGGTCTAGGCTATTTCACTTCTATAAAATGCAGTCCCCACCCTTTGAATTGATATCATGGCTTATTAGTAGGTTCTAATCCTCAATTTCAAATACAGTACAATAAACCTGAACCTCTGAACCTTTTTGGTATTTTTTGGGGGAAACATTGACTAGTGGTGAATTCTCCTTTCTAATCATAGTTGCTCAGTGTTGGTGATATTAAGTTTGGTCCCACTCTTCCATTGCCAGATCTTGATTTATTATTCCAATACAAGGAAAATTAATTTTCAAAACAGGATTCCAACTTATTAAATTTATTGAGGTTTATAATGAATAGGTAAGTTTGTTTCAATCAGCTTCTACTAAGACTTAAGAAAATGAAAATATGACTACAGGGTTGCATAGAAAACAGATATCAAAAAAGGCAATACAAAGGGAATACAGACACCAAAGAAATTTTTTAAAAAAAGTTTAAGAGACAGGGCTTAGTATGTCATCCAGGCTGATCTCAGACTCCTGGCTTCTAAGGATCCTTCTGCTTCAGCCTCCAAAAGTGCTGGGATTACAGGCATGAGCCACCGTACTCTGCCTCTCCTGTACTACTTTATGTATGTTTATTATTAAACGTTTTTGGGTACATGTATCAATTTTGTTATGCTTGAGTCAGGGTTATATGTGTGTCCATAAATAAGACTGTGTTTACTGCACCCATTAGGTAGGTTTTTACCCACCCCTTGAGTTTTACTTCCCTTTGTGCACCTATGTGCTTATGAGTTAGTTACAATTTAATAGTGAGTATATGTGGTGTTTTTTTCACCCCTTAGACACTTCACTTAGGATAATGGTCACTAGTTCCAAGAAAATTGAGGTCCTCAATTCATCCTTCTTCATGGCAGAGTAGTATTCCATAGTACACATATACCATATTATGTCATGAATTGAAGGGCACCTGATCTGCTTCCAGTATCTTTGTGATTGTGAATTTTGCTGCAATGAACATTTGAGTGCAGGTATCTTTTTTATAAAATGACTTATTTTCCTTTGGGTAAATACCCAGTAGTGGAATAGATGGATCAATTACTAGGTCTACTTTCAGTTCTTTGAGGAATCTCCATACTGTTTTCCATAGAGATTATACAAATTTGAAGGCCCACTGTTAGGTCTGGTGGAGCATAAACAGGTGACAAGGAAGTGAATAAGAGCAGAGAGCAGGAACTGAAATGTAGCTAGGAACCAAATGGAAACATACAGACTTAGAAGTTCCTGGTGACCCTTGACCTAGAGCTCATTATCATCTTATTAGCATAGCTTCATGAAAAATTTTGAGAAGATGTATACTTAGAAATTGTTATATACCCAACCTGTCAATCACCCCAAAGGTGGGAGAAAGATGGGACAAACTCATGGGCAACATATAAACAACAGCTGTGCACTCAGACTTCAGTGTCTTTCTCTACTTTGGAGACTGATGCATTCCTCTCTCTCTGGAACATATTTTCACTTTATGTAGCTTTCTTCTTCACTTTCACTTCGTATATCTTCTTTTTCATGTAATAAATTGTGTGGGATTGCTCCGTATCTGTGATCACTATATCTATCATGAGCTCAACTTAGTAATAGTCCTCATTCTTAACACTGGGAATCAGGGGACCAAGGAACAACCAGATGGACCTAATACCACCAATAGTGTATAAATGTTCTTTCCTCTCTGCATCCACACCAGATAAACTTTTTAATAAAACCATTCTAACTGGGGTGATTTCATTGTGGTTTTAATTTGCATTTCCCTGATAGTGACATTGAGCATATTATCATGTTTAGTGGCCATTTGTCTATCTTCTTTGGAAAAACTTCCATTCATGACTTTTGCCCACTTTTTAACAGGGTTGTTTCTTTTTTTCCTTGGCAATTTAATTGAATTCCTTATAGATTCTGGTTCTTAGCCCTTTATTGAAGTAAAAGCTTGCAAATATTTTCTCCTATTCTATAAGTTGTCATTTGCCTTGTTGATTATTTCCTTAGCTGTGCAAAAGCTTTTATGTTTAATTAAGTCCCATTTATTTACAATATAGTAGAACTTCTATAGTTGACCACCTCCTTACACCAAACACCTCCTTAAGTTGACCTGATTTCATAGACTGAATATACACCACATTTTAGTACAATAGACCTAGTTCCTTATGTTGACCAGTTTGTTACAGTCCCTTGGGTGGTCAACTTACAGAGGTTCTATTTTTTTTTTGTTGTTGCTCAAATTGCCATTGGGGCCTTCTACACAAATTCTTTGCCTAGGCCCTCATCTAGACGAGTTATTTCAACATTTTCTTCTAGAAATTCTATGGTTTCATGCCTTACATTTAAGTCGTTTATCCATCCTGAATTGATTTTTGTGAGTGGTCAGAGATATGGATCCTTTTCATTCTTCTGGATGCAGCTATCCAATTTTTCTAGCATGATTCATTGACTGAAGCTTTTTTTTCCATCACAGATTAGTTGGCTGTATGTAAACGGTTTTTACAGATTTCAAACTATACTATAAGGCTGTAGTAACCAAAACAGCACAGCATTGGCACAAAAACAGACACACCAATGGAATAGAACACAGAACTCTGTACAACTTTAGAATCTACTTTTGCCCTAAAAGATCAATTCCTGCCCTCAACTTTTCAATATTGAAGAGCATTAACAAAGTTGCTACTCTTCAACCCATCTTATTTGAAACCCAAGATAGAGGTAGGGAGTAGGGAGTAGGGATGGTGTTAATTTAATTCTAACACCGGAAATTATCTCCCAGGCTTGTGCTAATTTTTTCACACTCAATTTTGTGGGGGATAACTTTCACTCATCAGGAACTATAATTTTAGTTTAGATTTTGTTAATATTCTGCAACATGAAAACAGGGCCTTTTCTTATTCACAATGAGATTTTACTTTTTGTCCTCATTCTACGGTAGGCCAAAAAACCACGCCATGAAGGCTCTGCTTCCAATTTTAGTCCCATCACATGCATATTGCATAGAAACAGCCTTTATCGGATAAGAACCAACACGGTTATTAACAAACCTCAGATATTTTGATCACCTTCTGGGATCTTAACAGTTGCAGCGATTGTGCTGAATGATATCAAGTCTAGCTTGACATGAGGGGAAAAAATGACCAGCTTTCATCCCGAGGGTGAGGTGGGGGTAAGACTAGCTTAGAATTTAGGTCCTGAAGGTGGAAATAGCACGTTTGTCCCCAGCTCTGCAGTTCTTTAGGGCCTCATCAGTACGTTTCTTTTCCGCAGAGGGACCTTTGGTGGGTGCCAAAGGCTCTGATCGTGGGCCCTTTACGACTATCCTCCCAGGGCAGAACCAACCCCACTGCAGGAGCAGCCGCGCGCGGCCCTGGATCAGCGCTCTATCCCCAGACCTGCGCTCGCTGCCGCCGCCGCCCGGCCCCACCACCAGGCGCTCCGCCTCCTGCAGGCCGCCGGTGGCCATGGCTGCCAGGCAGATCCGGGCGCTGATCGGTGCGGGCCTCTGGAGGCAACCTTCAGCCGTCCCGCCACCCAAACCTCTCTGGGTCCGGAAAGGGTTCCGACAGCAGCTCAACTTAACCCTTTGCTCCACTTCCGAGAGAGACTGCAGCTGCTCCGCGCCGGGCTCGCAGGGTAGGCCGAAGAGAACGGCGACGCGCCCGG